TCTGAGAGAACTCGCGTTTGAAAATCAGAAACGATTTTTTCAAGAAGTCAATGGCATATGAAATAATTAATTTATTCCTCACATTTGCACCATACGGTATAACTCAACCAATGGACTACAGTAGAATATGCTTGGATTGTAAACAGCTAATTATAATTTGGGCAAAATTCAGGGCTAAACTAGTTTTTATAAGGTAGCAATGAATAGAATTATTGACCCACTCGTATAATATAACCTAGACATACCACCCTGTATATTATTCTAAAATTTTATATCCGTTAAATTTAGAGTCTAGTGTATTACAAAATCAGCATAAAGACAATTTCATGCAACGTTGTTAATATATTTTAATTAATTTTGATAATAAAAATTCCACGCGTATGACTCCTATAACTAAACGAAATACAAATGGCGTCCTTGATCACTATAACAGCAAGGCATTAATTTTACTTTCCTCACCAAACTACGCTCAATGTAGTTATTTCAACATTGACAAACGTGACCATTGGAAAGCATAAAAATATTGCAGTTTTTTATAAATCGTACCTTACACGATCAAGGTTAATAAATTGTATATTAGAAATACAGAGCGACTTTATTTTAATCTTCTGAGTAGGTACTGAAAATCAATTCTCAAATTTAATACCGTTTAGTCTTCAGTCCGACTATGCATCGACGATAATGTATTCATTTTCTGTCGCCTGTCATACGTCAAATAAAATTGATTCGAAACACATAAATAATTCGTTTTATGTCTATATAGATTAATAACCGTCCATAATATAATCTATATAATGGAAGGAAAGATTATTAAAGGCTGAATTGAAAAAATATTTATTATTAATTGTCACTTACCCTTTAAATTATTAACCCACTTCCGTTATAACAATTTCAAGTTTGTTGAGCGGCATTTTATAGTTAAAAACATATTTTGTATTATATTTATATTTTGGAAATCCCCAAATAAATATTTAAAAATTACTCCTACGAAATAATGAAAGTGAAAGCACATTTAATTGATAGATTGACAAAAAAAATTTAAAAAAAAATCTGCCCCCGGGCTAGGATTCGAAACCACCTATTATTATGCACACTGACTTTAATAATTCGGATATCGGGACATGACTGTTCGTATTCGAAATTGTTAAATTGAATATAGCCAACTAATTTTATGTTTTTCTTTTGATTCCTGTCCGTTTTTCGGTAATAAGATTTCAATTCCCACTCGGTTCTCAATTTTTCAACAACTAGCACCATTTTTTAGGGCAAGGGTGTCCAACATGAGGCCTGCAAGCGCGTGCAGCCAGCTTCGATAAATTTTGCAGGCCTCAAAATTGAAATACCTAAAAACGAAAATATACATATACAAGCGATTTATTCCTACATCAACGATGGAATAAAATAACACATACCTAGA